GTTCATACTGAGCTGGTGCTACTCTTAAGTGAAAGACTGGAAGAATGGGAGAAATATCTTTGAAGACGATGTAAAATCCTTTCCAGTTGGTAAGATCTTTCTGTCACGGAGCGTGAAATCTCCTGTACTGGGAGTACCTCTCCTGCCAAGGCACTGTGGGATTTTCCTCTCCCTTTTGAGGACAGATTCTATGAATAGCCGTTATGTTACCTTTTCACCTGCTTCTTTGACAAATCTGAACTGAATTTAGTGTCATAATGCAGTGCTGCTCACTGTGTGCTGGAGCAGAGACCTCCAGTTACACAATCCACACGGGATTAATCTCTGCGGGATGGTGGGCTCACAAATGACTGCTGGAGTCTGCTTTGTCACCCAGTATGTATGATCCCACATCAGCCAGAGAACTAATGATATCATCAAGATTACAAATGGAAAAGCTTTGCTTCGTAGCTAATGCTTGTCAGGCTGAACTGCTCGGGCCACGCAAGGAGTGTTGGGGAGGAAAAAGAATTGAGCCAAGAAAAATGATAAACAGGGGGAGCTGGGGACAGTGATACATCTTGTGCAAACCCCCAAGCTTTCGTTGGTTGGGCAGAGGAGATGAGAGGCTGATCAGGTTTTTTTTCCCCTGAAAACTCGAATCAGTTTTCAGCGAACTCTGCTGCCAAGGGCTGCTGGGTGTCTGCAGGGAGGTTGGCATGGGGCAGCGCTGGCACTCCGAGGGTGGCCGTGAGGATCTGCCGCGTTCCAAAGAGCGCTGTCTGCTTATTCTGCTTGTTTGCCTCCCCCTCACTGCTGCCAGGAGCTCTCAGAGGAATGAAGGATGTGAGGGAACGCTACCTCAGTTCCCCCCGATGTGCCTTCTTTCCAGCTCCCTTCGAGCTGCTGCGTGTTCATCTCAGTAAATTTTGTCTTTAAATTGTCTTCTGAATGTTTAGGAGTCAACATAATCTCCCCAGATGAGTGTTTCCAGAGGCTGTCTACAAAGGAGATTTCAGAAAGTTAATTGCATGAAAGCTAATGAGGGTGTGTGTATTTTTAGTGCTGCCCAGTTGGGAAGCTGACAGGGCATTCCTGCTTCACCTCATTTGGCTTTTAACAGCATGAAAACCTCTTCATCTTAGTCAGTGACTCACCCTAAGGCCACACCAAATCCTCTGGTGGAAAACCAAGGGAGTTATGCTGAGGGAAGCCCAGGGGAAGCTCTGTTCAGGACTCATCTTTTCCCTTTGGGAAAAGTCAAGCGAGCTTTTGGAGGATGGGATTTCCAGCACTGCTGCTGTCTGTGGGTAAGGGAAATGGAGAGCTCCTGAGGGATTGCCTGGTGAACCTCCTGAGAGTTTCCCTGCTGGGCTGGTTGTGGTGGCAGTGAATCAGCTCCTCTGCCTGTCTTTGAATTGTGGCACTAGAGATTCCCTTCCTAACCCAGATCCCTGCTCTGCTCTGCGGCGCTCCTGACTGGGGCAGCTGCTCCTGCCTTTTGTGCTGGATTTGAGGCCAAACTGTGGCTGAGGAAGGTGCAAGGGAACATCGAGAGAGATGTTGTGTTTATGAGATAATTGTACAAAATTCCGTGTCTGTGGGACAGATATTTACAGAGGACGCAGCTAAATAAGGGTGACCTGAAGTCTAAAACACTTTAAAGTTGCCACTTTAAAATCAGTGGAGCAAATCAAAATAATGAACCAGGAAGGTTTGTGTCCAGAGCATTCTAATAGAAATAGCATAATGTTCCTCCCCTCCCCCCCACAAATTGCATCACCCTATTGTTAAAATGAAACAAAACAGCACGATTTTAAAACTTAAAAGGAAATGTGTTGTGGGAAGTAGAGGCTATTCCAATCTGCGATGCATTTAATCAGAATGATTGGTTGTATTAGCCTAATTTTAGGAAATAGTAATCAATTTTCCCTACTCAGGACAGGATTAGCATTCATTTTGCTTAATAGGGAATAGCCTGTCGTGGGTAAGTAGTGCTTAATCAGGTATTAAATGTAAGGCAAGATGGAACCTCTGGACTTTCAATGAGGAAGCTGCCAAATCAGGGTTAATTAGGAGAAGACTGAAAATGTAATGAACACTTGAAATCTTTATTTCTCTTCTCCCTATGGAACTCTCATGTTTTAAGTGTTTGCAGAAGGTTCAGAAAGGCCTCTGAAAAGGGACAGACTCCTTGAGGACTGCATGATCAGGCAGGGTTTGTGGCCTTGAGAGCAACGCAACTGTGTCAAAAGCTGAACGTTTTGCTCTCCAGAAGGTCCCAATTCAGACCTTCATGCCCTGTAGATTTTAAGATAATAAATAAAAAGGTGTGACAGCTCAACTGTGAGAGCTGACGCCAGCCACGGTGGGTTTTAAAAGAGACTGCCTAACCTGTTTGAAGTATATTCCTTTGCCCCAAGGCATCTGGGAGAGTTACCAGTGACTTCAGGAGGGGCTTGCAGGTGCTCAGTTAGGACTTGAACAAAGGCTGGATGTCTTAGACTAGATCCAGTGGTCCCAGGATGTATTTCCCATAGCAAAATCGCTACCTGGCCCCCAGATTTGCTTATATCTTTTTTTTACCCTCCTGTCAGCAAAGCAGCAAGTCAGGCTGTTGCATAATGTTGTAAAAGTTCTGTTAAGGTCTTGGAAGAACAAGTAAATATAAGCTGAGCTGTCAGAATTTTCCACAAGGCGCTCAGCTCGCTGGCATCGCTGGGTCTCCCTGGGGGATCTCCATCGCAGCGATTCTGTTAAGTCAGGGGCAGAAAAAGGAATCACTTTGCGTTCTTTGCAACCGTCAGCCGGTTTGATATCTACCAGCTGTTCTCTTTTGCTGCCTTGTCCCAGCCCTGGACCCCTGCTCTGCCTACATCAGCCTCAACGAGCCCTGGAGGAACACGGACCACCACATCAACGGCTCGCACGGGCAGCCCACGTGCGACAGCCAGATCGACGGCGAGTGGTACCGCTTCACGGGCATGGCCGGGGACGCCATGCCCACCTTCTGCATCCCGGAGAACCACTGCGGCACCCACGCGCCTATCTGGATGAACGGCAGCCACCCGCGGGAGCGGGACGGCGTCGTGGCGCGCCAGGCCTGCGCCAGCTTCAACGGCAACTGCTGCCTCTGGAACGCCACCATCGACGTCAAGGCCTGCCCCGGCGGCTACTACGTGTACCGCCTCGCCAAGCCCAGCGTTTGCTTCCACGCCTACTGCGGCCGTAAGTGGCTCCCTTTTTCCAAACCCCCCCGCGTTCCCTGGTGCCTGGCTTTGTCACCTGTCAGGCGCGGGCGGTGGCCTGTCCGCGTGGGATCGGCGAGGCGGCGCCGCCAGCGGGGATTTTCCGTGGCTGACCTGGCCCGCGGTGATTTGGTGCTCCCTGTGGGCGCCGCGGTGGTTTGTCTTGGCTTGCTGCCGAAAGTCAAAATTTGCATCCCTGACCTGCGGTGATTGAAGCAGATTGTTTCTCGGCAGCTTCAGCAGTTCGTCTTTCCCACCGTGGGCCAGGTCTGGAACTGACGGGACAAACAACGCGGTTATTTTTTGTTGCGTGCTCAGCACTGTGTGCTGACGGTGTTCTTGTCGTGCCCTAGATTTTTATGACATCTGTGATGTGGTGGATTGCCAGGGCCCCTGCCTGGACACCAGTGACTGCACCTGTTCCCCGGGGACGACGCTGGGACCTGATGGACAGACATGCCTTGGTAAGGGTGGGAGTGACCTGTGCCAGCTACTGATGCTTTCTTTCCTTTTGTTTCATCTCTCTCTTCAAGACCCGTTGCCTTACAAAGCAGTGCAAAAACGTGAAGTGTTCCGAGAGGAGTTTTCTCCCTTGCTGCCTGGAATAGGTCTATGATTCTGTCAGGGGTTCCAAGAGACATCCCATGACTGAAACCTTTCTGGTGGCCCTGGAGCTCTGTGTGCATGGAGACTAGATTTGCTTTCTGAAGGCAGCAGCTGCACTGCCAGAAGAAGAGTCTCTTTGCAAGATCCTAGCACAGTCTCCCTGTGGTGTTCAGAAAATGCTGTGCAGCCTGTCATTAGATGCTCCATTGAATACCTCTTTCCTCCTCCAAAAACACTCGTTTTCCTGGGCTGCACACTGAGCTCCACCATGATTCTTGCCCTTTTGGGACATCTTGCATGGCCTGGGGCTTTGAGGAGAGCCAAAGGATTGTAAGTCCCCGCACAGCTGCAGTGGTTTTAGGCAGCATGTCAGGGGGATGTTCAGGGGGTTGGTACTTGGTGACAGAGACTGGCACAGGCAGCAGGGAGGTAGAGGGTTGTAAATGAGAGCCGAGTGGGGAACGTGGGCTTTGGGGGTTTGGGAGGGAATCCCCATGGCCCTCTGAAGGAGAGCACGGCTGTGGTCGTGTGTGTGGTGCTGGGAGGAGAGCACCTGGACTGGGAGGGCAGGGAGAAGATGGTCTGTGGGGGAAAGCAAGGGGCTGGGAAGGGGTGGCCACTGGGGAGCTGCAGAGCCATGCTGGTGGATAAGAAGAGGTAAGGTGGAGGGAGGAGGAAGGGGTGCCAGTGTGTGGGGGAGGTGGGATCTCATCTTTGTGGCCTGATTTGGTGGTGAAGCTGAAAGCAGAGTTGATCCAGGAGGCTGTGTGGCACATCAGTCTCTTCCATCCTGACTACAGCTGACAAAGCAGGTGTGGGTGGTTTCTTCACGCTCCTCGTGTCTGTGGGCATCAGGGTAGGGGCCACAGTCATGCCAAGTCTGTGGAGAGAGCAGCCTGGCCCTGCTGCAGAGCTGCTCTTGCTCACACTGATTCTGTGGAAGGGTTTTGCTCAAGCATCTCCACATCTCTGCAGCCAAGCGGCTGACTTAGCTCTCTCCAGTAATTAAAAGCATTTATCGGCTGCTTCTGTTCAAGACTTCCAGTCACAGGAGTGCCCTTGACAAGCCCCAGCACTCAATAAACGCGTGGCAGGCTCAGAGGAAAGGATTTCCCGCAGCAGAGAGGGAGGCTCTCAGGAGCCTGAGCCTGTCTGCGTGTGCTGCAGCTGCCTTCACCCCACCATGTCCAGGCTGGGCAGGATTTCTGCACTGCTGCTTCTGCCCATGATTCCCAGATGGCACGACACCTCATCTGGAATGATCACGCTGGTTCACCAGCCTGCAGCCTCTCTTGTGTGGCTCACTCGTCTCTCTAATGACTTTCCGTTGCGCTGAGTAATTGTGCAATCACATCTCTCAGAGCAGCTGTGCCAGCCTTCCAGAGAAACTAAATAAATCCCTGTTAGGCTTTCCTAAATGGAGAATATGCTTCTTTTCCTAGCTCCCCCCTTAACAGGGGGACTGGAGATGCTGCAGTAATGCAGCAGAGAGGCTGTGGAGCCCCATCCCTGGAAGTGTCCAAGGCCAGGTTGGATGGGGCTTGGAGCAACCTGGGCTAGTGGGACGTGTCTCTGCCCATGGAAGGGAGGTGGAATGAGATGAGCTTTAAGGACCCTTCCACCCCAAACTGTTCCATGAATATTAGACAGCTCTGTGAACCTCCCTGTGCTCCTCAGTACTCCTCCATGCTTTGAATCCCAGAGTAGAGCTGCTGATCCTCAGCTACATTTTCATTTGCAAGCTTAGGGGTTAGGCAAGGTCTCGGACTTCCTGTCACACATCCACCAACTCGGCGCCTTTGACCTCATGAATACTTGGATCCATGTTCTACTAAGCCATGGATAAAATCAGCTCAGTGCCCTCCCAGTCCAGTCTCGAGACAACTAGAAGTGCAGGTTGTCGCTGGTGTGGAAGAGCAGGGACAGATCTGTGTGTTGTAGAACTTGAGGGACCGGCAAGGGCGATTCTTGGGTACAGCCCTTGACCAGGACAAGCTCTAGGCCCTTCTAACAGCATCTCCGTGCCTTTGCCAGTAGCCCTTTCCCTCTTCACCTTCTGTTTTTAAGCAGCTTTAGTTTTATTTTTAGAAGGGAAAGTGTGGAGCCTGTCACATATGCGAAAAGCAGAGTGTCTGTGTGTGTCTCCTGGACATGCTTCCTGCCTCCCAAAGCAGGGGAGCAGCCAATTCTTTGGCTAAAAATACTCAATTCACGTCGCTTGTGGAAGGAGACACCACCACCAGCTGCAAGCTGTGGGCACTGTGAGTGTGTGGGACCACTGATACCTAAGAAAGCTCCTCTCTGACCTGTCTCTTAAAAAAAGTATCTTGCTTTTTTTCTCAGTTTAAGCTTCTGACATCTAGTAAATGCCAGCTTCGAAGCTGTTTTGATAAAACCCCGTGTGAACCTTGATCGATAACCTCAGCATCCTGGCCTGCCTAAGAGAAATTGTTAATTTTGTGGCTCAACAACAGCAATGTCTATCCCTTCCTCTGATTCATGTTTTGCACACAGAGATTAAATTGGGTTGAAGAATGAGAATCTCAGATAAAAAGTACCTTTCAAAAAAAAAAAAAATAAATAAAGCAGACAGACACAGAGAAACGTTAGCCTTTAAAGCAGGATTAGCAGGAGTTTTCAGAGCTCTACCAGGAGACTCAAAAGCTACTGTCAGTGGGATTACTCGTTACATTCCAGAGCTCAAGAAGTGTTTGGGCAACGCTCTCAGGGCACATGGTGGGATAGCTGGGGTTGTCCTGTGCAGGGCCTGGAGTTGGAGTCAATGATCCTGGTGGGTCCCTTCCAATTCCAGATCGTGTCCTGTGATCTGATCTCTGCTGCCCTGATCCAGTTCAGGAGGCCGGGAAAGCCAGTCTGACCAGTGCTCCCACGAGCCAGCTGTGCGTTTACTGAGGGCACGTTCTGACAGTGGTTTGGGTGTTTTTGTTGTTTTGTTTTTTTTTTTCAGATGAAAACGAGTGTGAGCAGAACAACGGGGGCTGCAGTGAGTTCTGTGTGAACCTGAAGAACTCCTACCGCTGCGAGTGCGGGGTCGGGCGCACGCTGGGCAGCGACGGCAAGACCTGTGAAGGTGAGGCTTCAGCTGCCACAGGGGCAATAGAAATCACTCCCCCTCCCTTGCAGCACTGCTGGCTCCTTGCAGCTGGGATTAAATGTCACTCATATCACCTCTGTGCTTGCCAGTGGGGTTGTTCCTAAAATATCCTTCTAAGCGAGCAGAGAGAGAAGCCTCCTTGTTGTTCTCCCTGCCTCGTTCGCTTCTGTTAGGATTTCCTTGTGTTTATCTCCGTGGGGGAAAGGCAGTGGTGGATCTGGAAGACTGGTTGTCCACACAGAACTAGTTATTGCTGGAGTAGCTGGGAATCAGCTCTGGAGATTTGTGTGGGGGCAGATTTGGCATTGCTGGGTTTTGGCAGCTGACATGAGGTGTGGGGCAATGTCATGACGTTAGACTAGAGCACGAGGATCACTTCAGTCTCCCGGGGCAGAGATTGAGGAGAGAGGGTGCCAGTGTGTGAACAGAAGCTAGATTTGAGATTTGGGCTGCGTTTTGGCTCTTTGGTGTCTGTGAGTGGTTAGCTGTGGGCTCAGCTGCTACAGCTCCTTCCCAGGGGTGGCACAGCCAGGTTGAAAACCCTTGGTGAGTTTAGACCTGTGGCTTAGAGACCAAATGGTAGGTTTGATCTGTTGTCACCAACAGTGTACAAACATCTTTGGGGCAGAAATAGGCAAACCAAGTAAAAATAGACTTGTGCCTGATGTTTTCTGTGGTGAGTTTTTATTCCAGGGCTGCTGGAATAGTCTGTCTTGGAAACTTGTTAGTTTGTGCTCTTCACGATGTTGGCTTTTAGGGCCTTTGATATATCATTTAATTTCCCCTTCTGTAAGAAGGATGGTGCTTTTCATGAGTTCAGCACTGCTGCTGGGGATTTTTACAGTCTTGTTAGTGAGTTTTATTTCAAAAGATGTGCCCTCAGCTTTGTGAGCCCTTAGAGGGTGTGATTTACTTGTGAGCCACCTCACAGCTGTTGCTAAAAAGAACAAATGCAAGAGATTTAGTTTGATTACATGAGCTGGTGAGTCTGAGTAGGGTTAAAAGTATCTCAGAATTTCCATTGTGATGCTTTACCCATTACTTTGACTGATATGGAGTGTTCAGGCTCTTGTTTTCCATGCATTATATAGGATTCAGTATGGGATTTTCATTATTTTCTTTACATTTCAGTGAAAAACCACACAGTCATTTCTGATGGCAGTCTTGGGGAGAAATATTTTGTCTTTATGATTTGTTTATCTCATGATGTACTATTGTTTCACTGAGAACAGTAGTACTCATCTAGCACACTCATCCCCAAGGGTTAAAAAAAAAATCAAGCAGTGAAGATTATTTCCAAAAAAATCATGA